AAATTTAAATATAAATAAATATCTACACATATTGTAGAGCATTCAGAGTTCTTCGCGCTGAGCTGCAAAGTCTCGCGTCGCTTTTTATTTCTGTGTTGCCAGCGGCGCACGTTGCGTATACGCAACATTTGTCATAAGACAATTTTTTAGTCTTGCTGGGATCATTAATTATTATGTTTTGTATGTTTTCTTGATGTTTCTATTTTTTTATCGGCTGTGCCATGGAACAGAAGTCGTTTTTAAGGAGGATGATTTGATTTGATTAATGATGTGCGTTAACTGTGAATGATTTTTTTAAGAGTGGAACTCGAGTCCACATATATTTAGACCACCCTCCTGACCGACTGACCAATTAGACCAGTTTACTAAACGGGTTTCATTTCATTAAGAAATAAAAACAGTAAATAATTGTGACGCACTTTCGTGTGACGCCCGCCGCACAACATCTAGCGATTGCCCAATTCCAGGGTATGACGTGACATCCTGCTACTGGGTAACTTAATATGCGCACATTGATTGCATTTTATGGCCCAATCTTGGCCACATTTCGCCCCCAGCCTGGCCAGCAAAGTGAGCGGCAATCGCATTGGACACGCAGGCCCAAAACCAAATAGCCAACAAAAATATATATAAGTTTATGTATCCAAGGATTTTAATTATTTGCACAAAAATCTAATTTCCGTCCCAAATATATAAATGACTGGGAGTCTGCTGCTGCTGCGTTAACTGATGCAATCGCACCAAAAAATAAAAATGACCAATAGAATTTTGTGGGGCATGCACGACTAAATGATACCCTATACATGATATTAAATATCGGCCTTTTAAATACATGTACTTGTAATTTGAAATTTGATAATGAAAGTATCTAACTTTTATCAGTCCATTACGATAGAAAATATAATAAACATCAATAAATATTAAAGCCTTTTGTGCACACGCATGCGTATTAGTCTCTTCTCAATTAAATACAGGGTATGTCTAAAAACATTTTTAAAAAATTGAGTGCCACGCAAAAGTTAACAACAAATCAAACGCCGCAGTTTGACACAGTTTTTTTTTTCGACGCAGGAGCAGCGAGTGGAAAATCAAACGACAAACGAAATTTATGGAGCGCGTAGCAGAAGTGAGAGAAAGAGAGAGAGAGAGAGAGAGAGAGAGAGAGAGAGAAGGAATAAGACGCACAGCGCTTAAATGGATGTGGATGTGGCTGGCTCTTGTTGTTGTTGTTGTTGCTATTTTGGACCAGTTCGAAGTGAGGTGCGTGCGACGTCGCTCAATCAATGCAATTCATTCATTGAATTCGAAATGGGCAACAGCGAATTGAGACCTGAGCGTCTAGAGCCGCGACGCGAGATCTGAGACTTGAACTGGAACTGTAACTGCAATCGGCAATCGGCAATCGACAATCGGCATCGCCAGCCTGGCTGGCCCGCTGACTAGCTGACTAGCTGACTAGCAGGCTGGCTGCCTTTGGCCAAGTGCCTTTCGAGCGGCCTTCTGTTATGGCCAGCCTGCTCGCATAAAGGGGCCAGAAGGCAGACCAAAGTGTTGCAGTGATGCAACAGCTTTCGATGACGCAGGCTTCAAGTGCGCGTCAAGTACGCTGCACGAATCACAGCAAATATTGACTCAAGAGTTAGCTGAGGTGATGAGAGCAGCAGATTGCAACAGATTTTAAATACAGCGAAATCTTATTTGGCTTAGTTTTCTATGCAAATAAATGTTCCTTTAAAAAGTCACATACTTAATATAATTTACCCAACTTTTACATGTATCTTTCATTCTTTTATAATTTCTCCAGTTACTAGATACTATAGTATATGTATATGTGTATCTATTTTTATTTTTCTTTTGTGGCTGCGACAGTCTCAACGCGCTTTTTGCTCTGCTCTGGACCAGTCTCTGTTTTTTGCCATGAACATTTTTTTTTACGTTTACTTGTTCACTTTTGGCACACGCTGCAGTGGCTGTGATAGTAAAAAATGCGTTGGGTGCGTATGCAAAAAATTAGCAAAAAAAAAAACATATATACATATATCTATTATAAAGTAACTCGATACAAAACTGCACAAAAAGTTGCGTTCGGTCACATTTATTGATTTATTGTGGACATTGTGGAGCGCAAAATTTATTACAAATGGAATCTATATATATATAGCTGTAGCTATACAAATCTTGAGAATTGTGTGCGTTTTTTCCTGTGCGTGTCAGCTGATTTATAGACCGAGCCAAACAAAAGACTTAGGCAACAAACTTTGCCAGCACAGAGATTGTATCAAAATTTGCAGCCGAAATCTATATTTGAGAAGAACAAGCCAGAAAGGTCCAGCTGTGAGTGCTCCACTTCGAGATTCCCTGAATCACACGCATTTGCACGCGCTCTGCTAGCTGCGTAGTATTATTAGAACTGATTTGCTTCATAAACACGCTTGTATTGTGGATAAAATATTTTATAAATATCTATATATGAACCTACAGAAATTGTCTCTGCTGTGCTGCGATCTAACCGTACTCCTGGAAGTTGGACAGCTTACAAGAATATGCATAGCCACTTGAGATAGGCGTGCATAAATGACTGGAGACTACGTTATTATTGTTGCTGAAGTTTATTTATTTAGTTTGGCAGCAAATTAAACACCGGTGTGCTTCCTGATCCATTCACGAACATAGGATACTCTAGCAAATACGGACGGATAGTTGGGCAAGGCGCACGGTTTGCCCCAGGACACCACGCCCACCAACACGCCGTTCCCATTTACCATGGGACCACCAGAATCGCCCTTACAGGAACCCTTGCCACCTTCCGAATAGCCAGCACAGATCATGCTCTCTGTCACAATGTTGATAAGACGGTAAGACGCCTGGCACTCCTCCTGGTTGACCAGCGGCACCTCCACCCGTCGCAGCGACTTAGCT